TGTCAGCTGCAAAATAAGGGGAGAATTAACCACCTGGAGACCAGTCCTCATGGGATTTATCTCCTCATTGCAACGAGCTAACAAGCTTCCCACTTCTGATGACTCAGCAACAGACAAGATTTAAGTCTGCCCTAAAATCCCAAATGACTTCCCATCTATAAAACGCTCTTTGCCAAGGGTTCACAGCCTGCTCTGGTGTTTTTCCAGAGCTCTGTGCACCTCTCATGTCCATGACTTTGGTTAGATGTGCAGGTTCTCAGTATTTTTGATAAACATTCCATGCATGTGAGAGTCTCTCATTAGAGAGAAGCCCAGAAATCCAGAGCGGGTCGTTGTTGCACTCGAGTATTTCAGGTTCTGTCTCATCTGCTCTGTCACTCTTCCTGTGCACTAAAAACCTCATTAAATAAGTGGTTTGTTCCTCTGAGCTGCCAGGGACCCTGTGTGCTCCCAGCAGGGACAGTTTTCATGGGGCTGAGCACCTTTCAGAACGAGGTGTCCCAGTTCTGCAGCACAGGGAATTCCTTCCTTCTCCTGGGACACACAGCCAGGGAAGGGGCCTGTGCTGCAGGGAGAGGTGAGGGACGGGGATGCTGCTAAAGGAGGTGCTCCCAAATCATGGTCCTGTGCCACAAACCTATTTCTTTGTGGGCTTGGGCACCCCCATCCCCGCAGACGTGAGTTCCTCCACATTCCCCTGGGGTGAGGCATCTCCTGCTGGGACAGGAGGAAGCCCAGTGTTAACTTAGAAAACCCCTGGGCAGACCAGCCCTGGAGAGAAAGGCAGTGAAAGACACAAAGAAAATAGATTTACAACCCTCTCCAGAGGGTTGCAGAGGAGGCAGATGTTGCTCTGCCCCCCACATGTACCAAGTCCACGTGTTGGCATTGCAGCAGAACCCCTGATGGAGGATCTGCATCTGCTGCAGCCTTTGCACTTCTGCTTTTTCAGCACCTATTCCATGCAGCCTGGTCATCCTGGGAGGGCAACAAGGGCATAACCACAGGAACCTGCCATGGGGGAAGCAGTGCAGAGATCCTTGCTGTGGGTATTTCTGGGGCAAACTGGGGTGCCACATATTAATGCAGGATATTGATATTGTCACCGGCCAAGTATGAAATCTGTTTGCAATCTCAAAAGGATGCAATTAAGATTAACAGAATTTTTTTGCCTTTTTTTCGATTCAACATCTAAACATGCCAAGGTTAAAACTGAAATAGCTTTTAGACCATAATTGCTTTTACCTTTCTGTAGTTGTCTGAACAAATATCATTAAAAAAATCAGGTTTACTTCCTCTTATTATAAAGTGTTTCTCGTGCCATTTAGCACAGTATAAATGCTTGTGCTCCCCCACAGGCCCAGCAAATTGTTTACTTTATAAAATCCCTTATTTTTGCTTTCTCATCTTCATTTGCATTCATATTAGATTTAAAAAAAAAAAAAAATCAAAGAAACCTTTCACCTGCATCTCTGGCTTGGGAGCAGGTGCACCCCAAACCGTTGTAGTGACACTGTAGGACTACAGGGCATACTGTGTTAAGGAATTGTACTGAAGAGAGCAGCCAGGGAGAACCTGGCTTGTATCAAACTGGTAATCATGAAAATCAGGTATTTGTGCCAGAAATAGCCTTTTATGCAGCAGGATTTGTGCCCAAGTGGCAATGTCAGAAAAACCAAGCAATTACAGAGGAATTGAGATATTGGCTTGGTAATGAGAGGGAAGGAAATGGTGATTGCAGAGATGTTGTTACCATTCAGTGTCTAATTAATAAATCAGTTCTAATTAATAAATGAGTTCATTTCCCCACCCTGTTCAGGAGGGACAGAACAGAGTCCGAACGCCTTCCCTGGGCTCAGCCCACCTCGGCTTCTACTGCATCCATGGCCTGTCCCATGTTCCAAAACACACCCCACATGCTTCCCAAGGAAGTAATGAAGTTTCCCTTTGTTCCTCAGATGGAGGCACAGCCAGGGGTTTGGGGTTTGGGATCGTGCCCGCTGCGGCTGCGCTGTCCCTTCTCCGGGAAGGGGGCACTTTGTCCAGCTGGACTCCATCCAGCTGGCTGGGCACACACCACCCCTGTGCTGCTGCAGGAATGCCACGAGCTGAAGTTCATTTGGCAAAGTCATTCCTCTTGGTCTGAGATCTGCAGGGCGACGGAGGAGACGGGAGCTTTCATCCTTAGGTTGGCATCAAAGCCCTGTGTCAGACTGCAGAGCAGCAACAGGACTCCCCCTGCTTGATTTCCCCCCCTGCACTTTGGGTAAATGTTCTGAAGCTTTTGCCACCCCCCAGCTGGCAGAACAAAGGAAGGACTCCCACACATGACTCCAAGCTGCAGCTCTGGCACCGACCGTGCACCAACCCCTGCGGTCTGTTACTCGTGTTGGAGAGGAGACACCAAAAACGATGCTCCATTTGGGTCTTGCCAAATCACACTTGGACAGCTCGGGATGCTGTCATGGTGAGGAGTCTGGAAAGCCCAAAACTGGCAATACAGAGCAGACCATTTGGCAAACGGTGTGTCATTCTTGGAGCCCAAGTCTGTAATTATGTCCTGTGTCCTCTCGAGAGGAGATGCCAAAGTTCCAGCCTTAGCAGGTGGCTCGTAACCGAGTGGAACAAAACAACAGGGAGCAGTGACTGTTTACAGCAAAAACGTCTATGTGGGCCCTGGTAAAGTTCTAGAGTTGCAGGCACGGGTGAGGGGATTATGTGGAACCTGCGTAAGAAAGCCCAGCTGGCCTGATGGGAAGAATTATCCCTTAGATGGGAGGGAACACGGCTTTTCCTAAACTGTGCACTTACAGGATGTGTTGGGTTAAAAAAGAAAAGTACAGCAGGTTTAATATTAACGTGATTTGTTGGTACAGAAGGTCAACATAATGTGTTAGAAGGAAAAGTATGGGACGAGCTGCATTGGGAGTTTTACTTGTTGGAGACTTTACATTTTCAAAGCTGGTTTTAGCCTAGAATGCTGTGTCATCCATAAGAGAAAGCAGGCAGGAGCACATGCCTGGTTTTTCATCCTCTGCTGCTGATTTATCATGTCAATTTGTCAAGTGATTTATTGTCTGGTCCTTTTGGAGAATAATTATATCCATTCCCAAAAATGAAAAGTGGTTTAGAATGTCTAGATTTCTTAGAATAGCCTCAATTCTGGCTATTGCAGCCTGACAGAGAGGCTGACTCGGTGCCAAATTCTGGTTCATAATGAAGAGTAAGGGAAATGCTGGGAATTAAGGTGTCTGGATACAAAAGGGAATTAATGACCAGCTGATGTCCCTGTCCCCTGGGTGCAGAGCACATTCTGCTACTTTCCTGTGGGTGCTTTCTTTTCACATTCAAGTCCTGTTGCTGATTTTTAATAAATCAGACTAATGGCCACTGTTGCTTGGCTTCAGTCTAAGGGCGCTGGAACCATCATTTCTCACATGAGACTTGTTTGTGACACCCTTGTTTTCCTTTGTGTGTTTTACACTGTGAACAAAGTTCTCTTTGAGGGGACAGGAACCCTTCCTTAGCCTTGTCCCAGTGCTGTCACCTGCAGCATCAGGCTGCTCCTCCTTTCCATCCCTCCAGTGGGAGCCAGGAGGAGCTGTAAGGAGCTCTGGTGTTGATCCAGAGACTACCAATGCTCCAGAGTCTCCCTGCTAAAACACACTCAGTGACCTGTTTGAGTCCCCACGAGCATCATCCTTCTGTGACCTTCTTTTGTGCTTGGCCTGTGCTGAGACTTCTCCCCAGGTCTCTGCAGGACTGTGAGTTGGTGATTCCTCCTGCATGTGACATTTCCTCACTTGACTGTCAAGATTTAAGCCTTGAATGTCAGAACTTGCTCGTAGGTTGTTTCTGGCTCCACCTTTTCCATCACTGGTAATGTGGCAGCTTGGAAGTTGCTGCACAAGCTTTGACTATTTCTGGAGCTGATTTGCGTGTGTGCACAGCAGTAGGATTTTATGTTGCAAATTCCCTGCAGTCTTTTGGTATAAATTGGTGTTTCTGCCTTCACAAAAGGTCATGGATAAAAACAGAGCTGGACATTTAAATGCCCAATGCCTTTGAGACCCACCCCAGCTGCTGCTACCACCCTGTGGGATTTATGGAGAGTAAAGTTGTTTGCTGGACAGTAAATATTAAAATGTGATAGTTTTAGCTACAGATAGGCATTAAATTTTGCTGTGTTTTAGCAAAAGCATTTCATAATGAAGTAAATAATGCCATTGCATGTCACAGCTCCTTTGTGTAGGTGCAAATTTGTGTTCACTTCCAAGTAGTTATGCTTTTTGGCTGTTGGAAGGGGCAAGTTGCCTTAGCTCATAAATCTGGTGGTGTGTGGTTCTTTGGTGTGAGTGACCCTGGGGCAGACCCACATCTTGCACACACTGGCACTTCAAGCTTGGGAGGCTGGAAGAGGGAATGAGCCCCACACCCCAGACACAGGCACAAACCCCCACGTTCAAGTTCTGTTTCTGCAAATCGAACGGGATCTCTGTTTTTTTGTTCTGTGGGAAACATTTTCCCCTTCCCACTCAGTACACAGAAATGCAATTTAATACCTCCTCTTGCCCAAAGGTATGTCAGGTGTGGGAGTGAGCAGGACTTGATAGGAGTTGCAGAAGATTGATCACTCCCTCAGTGCCAGTGTGGCCCTGCTGGCAATCCCAGGGGCTCAGCCAAGGCTGGACAGCCCTGGATGCAGCCACTGCTGCAGCCCAGGAGAGCGTGAGAGGGCTGTGGGAAGAATACTGGATCAGGCCAGAAGAGCAACAGGGAGAGCAGAACCCCTGCCAAGCTACTCCCAGCACGAGCTGCCCAGGCTCCAGCGTGGAAGGCTGGAGTGGGCAGGGGACACTGAGCTCTTGCTGAACACACTGTTCCCTTCCAAACCTCAGGCCCGTGCTCGGTGGGCGGTTGTTCGGGGCACCGTGTTCCCTCCACTGTCACCACGTCTCCTTTCCATCTGAGTGACTCATTTTCATGCCCCTCTCTCCTAGATCTCAGACCTGATACGACAAAGCACAAAGGAGTCCCCGGTGTGGGAGTTCCTCAGCCTGGGTTACGCCCTCATGCTCTGCCCCTTCGTCGTCGTCCTGGGAGGGATGTTCTTCCTGGCCACAGCCCTGTTCTTCCTCAGTGACCGAGCCAAAGCTGAACAACAGTGAGTAACCTGACCATTGCACATGGGGAGCTACCACAGCCTGTTTTCTCTCCTGAACGTTGTGCTTGTACTCTTTCCCTGGCCTTGGTCCTTCCGGGTAAAGGATGTGGGGTTGTGTGGAGAACCTGGGCTCAGCAGAGTGCATGAGGCTGCACGAAGCACAGGGGCTTGGGTCGTGCTGGCTGGGCATCCTTTACACGCTTCTGCTCTGGTGGATCTCAGATGTTGGCCGTGTGGCCTGGAGGGGAGCACAGTACTGGGGGGCACAGGCCCCTTTTCACCCTTGCCTGAGCATGTCACAGCCCAGGCCACCCGTGGTGAGGGGCTGCTGTGCTGGAACCGTTGGACTGTGAGGTGAGGAGCAGGAGATGCTTCACAGAGCTCGGTGGTCAACGTGGCACCCGCATCTCAGTGCCCAGTGCCCTGCTCTCCACCTCCAGTAGACAGGAACGTGAGGCCAGAAGGGAGCAAAGCTGTGTGTGGGGTCCTGCGTGCTCGAGGGGCGCTGTGACAAAAGAGGCTTTCCCAGTCCCTCCCTGCAGCCTGTAAAAAGAAAGCTACTGTTTTTCAGTAAAGAAACCGATTCGGATCAACTCACGGTTGGCAACTACAGTAATTCAGAAGACGCTTCCACATGACATACAAACTTCTGGGGTTAGTCTCTTTCTCATAATTGTCAAAAAATAAGAGTTACTGTGTGCAATGTCATGCTGAATATGTGGGTAGGTGACTAGTCTGCTGTTGACTGTAAGTTGCCTTTTTCTTTCCCCCGCTGGAGAACGGGAGCCTTGGTGTACCTTAAGGAGAGGGGCCCTGGAATGTCACTCTTTCTAGGCATAGTACAACTAGGAGCAAAATAAGGTGTTTGGAGGTTGACATAAGTGTGTGAACAGTTTGGGTGATGCTTTCTGGCTCACATTTTCATATCAGATGGATGCAAGGGATTTGGAAGCAGTGCCACAGATGGTGCTGTGGCCCTGTAAGAGCAGTTCCACCTTCCTTTTACTATCACACATAAACCCCAGAGAAAGGAGAAGTTTTCTGCCTCCTGGTGCCTTTAAAAATATACATTCCCCTATAATGAGATGTTTAAATATTGTGGAAAAACAAGACCTCATCTGGTAAGGAGGTGAAGTCCTGCAGAGCTGAACCTCAGCGTGGCTTTGGGGACGTGACGTGTGTGTGCCTGGTTTGTTATCTGCAGAGAAAGGGCTTTAAATGACAGGAAGAGAATTTGGAGATTAGATGTTAGGAAGGACTTCCTAAGAGAAAAAAAGAGGTAAATGTTACAGCAGAATCTTTGGAGAAGACATGAAAGCTGTCCCATGTTTCTGAAGGCCTTCCTGGCTTGGCATGAGGTGGGAAGAGGGAAAGACTCTCCATCTACCTCCCTGTTCCTGTGCTTGTGCACACGTGAGTCCAGGCAGGATGAACATAAGTTTCTGGGTGCTTACCTGGTCCTAGGAAAGCTTCAGTGTTTGTCTTTACTGTGTTCAGAGAGGAGAGTGCTCGTTCCACCTTTAACTGTGGTGGAGATCCATGTCCCTTGGCACCTCAGGTGGTGAAGGAGGGGCTCAGGATTTCAGGTGCTGATGAATTCCATGTCACTCCCATCTTTATATCAGCATATCAAGCCCACTTGGACCTTTATGCTGGCCAAGGCACTGTGGTAGCCAGCTGGTCTCACTCCAATGGAGTTCTCAAGGAAGAGAGCTTTGTCTTGCTCAGGAGGCACCGCAGGTCACAGGCTGGTCACTCACAGGGTGCCAGTGCTGGTGTGTCTTACAGAAGTGTTTTACCAAAACCCCAACTTTGCAGTAGTGTTACTGTTGGGAAGGAGATCACACCTCAGAGCTCTGCTTGCTTCTGCACAGAAGGGTTTGTTTCTCTGTTGCTGTCTACCCTGAGCAGCTCTGGTTGTGCTCTGTCCACGTCCAGAGCCCACCAACCTCCCAAACAGCCACTGCTCCACTCTCTGAAGAAACATGTGCAGGTGTCAGACCTGGCTTTGTTGCTCTCTCTCCTTCAGCATCTTTCCCTTTCCTTATCAGTCTGACTCACATTTGTTTATGAATTTTGTATTATTCAGCCACAGATCTTACATGCTACAAACTGGGGAGAACAACTGTCATAAATAATGGTTAACAAGATAATTTCTCTCAAATGACTCCTAGTGCACTGTTTCTGGGGATGTGCCCACTCCCATGTTAAAAATACCCTGGCACCCTGCAGAGAGATTCCTGGAAAGAGCAGCTTCATTCAAGTTCCTGAGAAGTCAGGCAGTATCTGTAGTAAGGCTGGAGACTGTGGGGGGACTCACCTGCAGCGGGGTCGGTGCTGGACCGGGTCCTGGCTGCCATTGCCAACAGGTTCAGCGTTCTCCTCAGTGTTTATGGGACAGGATTTATTTGTTAGTAGCTCCATGCTTGCATGGGAGAGGAAAGACAACAGAGCATTTTGCTGTCAGCAGCTGAAAGCTCCGTGCTGGACCCCAAATCCACCATCCAGCTCCCACCTCCCTGCCAGACCATCTGCCCTTGGCATCGCACACTTTCCTGCCAGCCCTCCCCTCCCTCCTACCTATTACTGGGTACCCTATTACTGGGTACAGAGGAATTTCTATTTCAAGATGCCTTGTTTTCCCTCTCTAGCCAGTCCTGCTGCTCAGACACCGGGTCTTGGAAAGGTGCTTTGCCAAAAGAAATCAATTAACCTGCGGGAATCGCGGGCGCCGGAGATTAAACCCATCCATCACCCCCGGGGTCGGGGCACGCGGGGCAGTGTCACCGACCTCCCTAACGAGCTGATGTGGGGGCAGAGAACTGAAACACTGCTCTCTGCAGCCTCTGGAAACTGAGCTTTTCCCCCGCTTTCATTTTCACACTTCTGTGAAAACCAGTTCAGGGTTTTATTGCTGGGATTTCTGTGTTTGTTTTTCCTTTGTGTAACGGTCTCCGGGCATTTGCTTAGAGATAATTTCTCCTTCCGGGCAGGGCAGATACCAGGATAGCAACCTCTCTTTCCTGTAAAGCTTCCTCCAGCTTCCACCACACTTCCTTTCAAAAACAGAATTTCCAGGCTTTCACACTACTTTTATCATTGCCACAATTCCTGGCATATTTTGTAGATGACTTTTTTAGCACAGGAATTCCAGTCAACAAGGCTGCCCCTCTCACAAAAACACTCATGAAAAAAAATTGCTTTCTACAGCAATTCCTTTTTTTTTTTTTTTAACACAATTCTTTTATAACTATTGTCATGCTGCTTCAGAAGTCTGACAGCTTAAAGAGGCTTTTAGTAAATGTAGAACTAACAGAGAACAGGACAGAGTACATCACTGTGCTTTAATCCAATCATTTCGGGGGCAATTTTTATAATACAAATTTAATCCCACCCTTCCAAAGTGATAGAAGAGAGAAAACTGTTAAGAATGGGTTCTGCAAGAGCTCTTGGGCACTAGTAATGATAAATACTTCAATTCTTTTTTCAAACCACTCAAATACAATTCCTGCTGTGATTTCACTTGACTCGTTCCTTGCCCGCTCTGTACCTCTGCAGAGGAGGGTTAAAGCACTTGTATTTTATTTCCAAACGTGACTCCACTCTGTACTGGATTTTTCTTACTTGCTTAAGGAAAATTGGTGAGGCCCAAGGTAGATTTTAGGAAGATGATATGTCCAGTCTTGCCGTGGCAGAGCCCTCAGAAATGGATCAGAATTCTGATACCTGCTTTTATCCCAGGTACCTGTTCAGCCCTGGCACAGAGCAGCTTCCAAGGTTGGGAGCACTCCAGGTGCTTCATTCAGTGGAATTAGAAGCTCAGCACTGCTGAGAATTGTGTCTGTGGTTTGTGTGTGTCTCCTTCCTCACTCACAGTGCACATAACTGGGAAAAACAGAGCTACACCCTGGAGAGCTGCAGGAGAAATGCCCACACTGGGACTTCCTGGGAGCTTCACCAGTGACAGGGAACAATGTGCTCCTTTTGTTATGAAAAGGAATTTTAAAAAGTCCTTTTCCCAAGCTGTGACAACTTCTGGTGCCAGGGATATAAATCACTGTAATTGGTGTGTGTCAGGATCCTTTCCTGGCAGTGAGTGTTCACCCCAGGAGCTGTGCTGGGCAGGGATCCTGTCCCCAACCACAGGTCATTCCAGCTGCTCCTGAGGAAAACCAAGCTCACCTGGATTCTTCCTGAGAAACACCTCGTGCAGGTGCAACATAATCTACTCCTCTGAGGATTTTTAAATTTATTTTTTTTTTATTTTTAATATTTTTTTACTTAATCCCTGGTTTTATACCCGGAAACACGAGATTTTTCTGAGTGTTTTTCCAGAGGTATGAGAAGATGCTCTGGATGGATATCCAGGTTTGCTAATTGCTCAGTGCCTCTCTGCAATCCTGGATGTGTTCTCTGAGGATACAGCAATGCAGATCAGGCAGCAGGATGCAACTGCAGTGTGTGTCCCTGCCAGAGCAGGGATAAACAACTGCACCGATGCAGCTGGTCAGGACAGAGGAATTTACAGTGTTAAACCATCGACCACTCAGCACCTGAGAGCCCTGCAAGCCTGAATCCTTCACCCATTTGTTTACATGACAAGAATCAGGTTATTTAAGCAGCTCCAGCAGGTTTTTCTTTTCCCGTAAAATTAAAATTAAACGTTTAATAATAAAACAGTTTTACTCTTAATGCCTTGGATCAGGTGTGGCAGCTCTTGCTGGGCAGCAGTGCTGATGGATGGTTCATTTTAAAAGTGGTGGCTACAAACACTAGGAGGAAAATATTCTTTACAGAGGAGAGAGAGCACAAGCCACAAAAAGAACCATTCCTAGTCCAAACACCTCTTCTGCTGTCTTAAACACAGCACATCTGCAAATTGCATTACAGGAAAAATGAGAATAATCCATTTTCAGGCTCTTCCTTCTGCCTCACATCAGGCTTATTTTTAGCCTTTTGCAGAACTAGATATAAAATGATCTCCCAGCTCTCCTGTTGCA